ACACACACACACACACACACACACACAGAGTGTCCCAATATCCCATCACTAATACAGACTGTGGTTTTCCCATTTTATTAGAGCATTCCAAGGGTTTTCAGCAAGCTTCCCATCAAAGAAGCCATGGAGCCCAGCAATCAGATCAAAAACCGCTATGGCGATATCCTACCATGTAAGTACATCAGCTTTTATGTATTTAGCCATAGGATACCTCTGTGTTCCAACAATGCAAAAATTCTATGCTAACTGAACATGTACTTTGTATCTTGCTAGATGATGATAATCGTGTCCAGCTGTCCTCAAGTGCTGATGGGTCAGATTATGTCAATGCCAGCTTCATAGATGTGAGACAATCAATCGATCAATCAATCAGTCAATCAATATCTATCTATCTATCTATCTATCTATCTATAAATAAATGGATCTATTTGATTATTATTTGGACAATCGATATAGATATATAATGTAACAATTAACTTTATTTTGTAGGGGTACAATGAACCAAAGAAGTACATTGCCACACAAGGTAAAGATTTTTGAAGAAATGTTATATATTTTGATCATATTTTTATCCTCACCCATACAATGGGTTTAGGAAGTTTGAAAAAGATTCTTCAAATACTTTGTTGTTTATCACTCTAAAGGGATCAACTCTAAAAGGGTCAAAATTGTCCTGTTCATTGCTACCACTATGCACCATTGCTTCAATTTTGGGTGATATGTCTCAAAATTTAAGCAGTTCCAGGTCGTCACCTGTGTAATACCTCTGCAGAGTTTGAAAAAGATCCATTGAATACTTTTTAAGTTATCATACTAACGAAAAAGGGTCTGCAGTGGCAGTGGACCATATGTCTGAGGAATATAATTAATTAGTATACAGTTCATTCCTGTGACCCTGTTCATGTTACATGGATGGATGTTAAAGGCTACACAGATTTCATTTGCACATAAAATACATGCATTTTCATCTTAAAGGGCCTAAGAATGAGACTATGGCTGATTTCTGGAGAATGGTGTGGGAGCAGCAGTCATCTATAATTGTCATGATGACCCGCTGTGAAGAAGGAAACAGGGTAAGCGGAGTAGATACATAATGATCTAGTGTTCTAATGTGTTGATCAGGGGCGTTGCTAGAGATTTTGGGCCCCATGAAAGCATATCATATTAGGCCCCCCAGTAAAAAACCAATCCAGTTATTTTCCTAATTTTTTAGGGCCCCTGTCACTCAGGGGCCCTTGGAATCGTCCTAGCTTTCCTCCCCCTTACGGTGCCCCTGGTGTTGATAAGTGCAAAAACCGCACGTTTATATGCTGATGATGAGCGACTGTACTGTATAATGCACGTGATTTTCTTTGCAGTAACTGTGATTGTAAAATGTAAAGGTTACACTATAGTCATTGAAATTTTAGTTTATCGTCCAGAAAATCCAAAATGATTATGTGTTTTTCCAGTCTGTAAGACAGTATTCCCAAACTGTAAGCATTTTATCCTTAATCAAAACATTTTTTTTACTTTCGACATGGTTGAACTAGGTTTCAAGAACCAGAGAAATTCAGGTTAACCTTGAAAGTTACAATTAACTTAACCTTTTAAATGTTACAATTACAACTTTAGATTTAGTCTGCGGGAAAAAAACTTTTACATTATTAATACAATTATAGCCCTTTGCTTTCTAGGACAAATGTGCACAGTATTGGCCATCTCTGGATCGAGAGGCAGAGATTTTTGAAGATTTCATCGTGAAAATCAATGGAGAAGATCACTTTCCAGATTACATAATTCGACAACTTAGCGTCACCAACGTAATTGTTATTTTTAACATTAAAATTAAAGTTATAGTTAGAGGTATAGGTATATGAGTTAGAGGTGGTGCAGAGGTTAAATGTGAATATTTTAATGTGCACATATTTACAGAAGAGGGAAAAATCCTCAGAGAGGGACGTGACCCACATCCAGTTCACCAGCTGGCCAGATCATGGGGTTCCTGGGGAACCTCACATTCTCCTCAAGCTGCGTCGACGTGTCAATTCCTTCAAAAACCTCTTCAGTGGACCCATCATTGTCCATTGCAGGTAAGAGGTCATAATGGAGCAGTAACACCAATGAAACAGCAATTACAACAGCATTGCGGACCAGTTTTTCAAAACCATTTTTAATCAATCACATTAATGCCCTTAACCCTTGTCTTACAATGACAGCATGGCTTGGAAGCTTGAGGGAGAACTTGTGAGGGAATTACAAGGTTAAGATGGTTTTTTGGAGAATATTAAGGATGTCTTACTATGCTGAAAATAATATAATAAAACCAATGTAACCCAATGTAACTCTTCCCCCAGACTTTCCACTATTCCTTTTTACAAAAGATAAATATTTTCTGCTTGGTTTCCATTTAGTGCTGGAGTGGGACCCACAGGGACCTATATTGGCATAGATGCCATGATGGAGCAGCTGGAAACAGAAGGAAGAATAGATATTTATGGATATGTGGCCCAGCTCCAACGTCAGAGGTGTCTCATGGTTGAAGACGAGGTAACAGCAGATTGAGGGATTAGGCAGAGAATTTCTCTTGTACCCGTTGTACGGGGTATTTGTTTGCCACTAATGAAATATCAAGCCAAAGTAATTAACGTCCTGGACAATGATACAATCTTGGTGGATGTTTCCTGTGGCAGGCCCAGTATATCTTGATCCACCAGACTCTCCTTGAACAAACTCGGTTTGGTGACACTGAGATCCCTCTCTCTGAAATGCACTGTACACTGAAGACATTGAGGCAAAGGGATTCGGATTCTGAACCCACTCTTTTGGAAACTGAATTCCAGGTCAGTCAGCAACACAGCAGAAGGCCAGTATTAATGACTAC